CAGACAAAGAATGAGAAGCACTTCAAGGATGAGGCGGACAAGGTGAGGTACGAAAAGCAAAGCAGTGTCTTCACTAACTTCTCTGTCATTAAAAATCAAGTCACAGAGTGAAGTTACAAAATCACACATTGTGTTTCAAAACATGGAAAGCCATTTACAGAAAGAGATTATATAAAAGAGGCTTTTCTAAGTTGTTCGGATGTTTTGTTCAATGGCTTGCCCAATAAATACTTTAAATGCTGCTTAAAGTATTAAACTACAAGCCTGAGATCGGCGAATTCAGCAAGGCAAAACAAGCCAACGATCACACTAAAAGGTACAATCTGCATCTTAATTTATTTATTAATGAAGCTGCTGTAAGTAGGACTATTATTGACTTTAAAAAGTATGACCGGCACTCGGACCCGTACATAGAGGTGAATAAGTCAAATCTCAGCACTCCACCTCTGAAAGGTTGCTGACCCCTGGTTTATGAGATAAACTAGACTTAGTACAGATCAACAATATATTCTCATACTTGTCTAATCCATAAATTCAGAGTTTTACTATTTCAGCTTTTTTAACTTTAAGTGGCTTCTAAAGTGCTTCTTCAGGAGGATGGAGAAGATGCATTATTTAGGGGTAATTTACACAAGATGACTCAGTTGGCAGGACACCAAATACTAAAAAGACTGTTTCACTGGTGAGACTCAACAGTAATTCATTTTCTTCTTGGCCATGATCTTTGCTCTGATTTCTCAATGAATGGATAATCCATAAGGAATAGTAATCTGGCATCAGGGATCAGAATTGCCTGACCCCACTACGGCTGATTACCCCTCTCCTTTTGCCATCTCACCCCACAAAGTAGGAAAGAATTTAGTTTCAACATGGTATTATGAATAAAACAGATTTGTTCATTTGAGTTTAAAGGCTATTCGGTAAACAGAATCATCACAGAAAAAGCACCTGCCATATATTCCAATGGAAAATAACATTGAAGAAAGATGGTAAAGTTCACAATGGGTAGATTTCTAGCACTATGATTTAATTACATAGTTACCTTGGTCCCTCCTATTCTCTGCCTTTGACACATATTTAATCTCCTATGGGTTGTAATGCTTTGGTCTAGTTTTTATTATTGGGTTTAATGTGTAGGTACTAGCTAGTATTAGTGGCCCGTGATACATAGGTCAGATGAGATAATCTGGTGGTCTCCTCTCCCCTTTAGCCCTATTAAATAAATAAAAAGAGATTAATGTAAGGGCATTTCAGGGAGACTGAAATAATCTAGAAATGAATGTACTCATCTGTACCTGTAAGGTGATTTTACTGTGCCCTAGTAAAGACCCAAAGACATTACAATCTGACAGTTCTTTCCAAGACTGTGAAAAAATGGTTGGTGTTTTTTGTCCTCATGGACACACTTCCACATAAACTACAAGTGACACAACCAGTTTGCATTGTCTAAAAACCCATATGTCCTACTCCTGACTCCCATCTATAACAACTGGTATATTTTATTAATGCTGTTTTGGAGTGTTTGGAGAGGGGGAAGGAGACTAGAGTTAATATGTCCAGAGAGATTTTGGAGGGAGGGAGGAAAACAACAAATTGAAGCTTCCTGTTAGAGATTGGGTGAAGAAAAATTTCCCAGGCATACAGTTAAGATGGAGTCACCCTTACTCAACTAACTTGGATAACAGATCTCTCAATCCACAAAGTGCAGCTTGTATTCTACATCATGCAACACTGAAGAATAAGTAATCAGCTTTCACACTAGTCCCCAAGCAGCTGCACATTTTGACCCACACTCTTTGCACCAGCCCCATGTATGAATACATCATGTATATAACAATAAAATAAATATTATTATTTAAAAAAATATTGGAATAGGGTTCTGTGACAACATGCACTGCTGTATTCACACTCTACACACCCTTGTAATAATATTTGCACAAAATAGGCCTAGAAAAATTAATAACTCACTGGTCAGTAATACCATGGTGAAAAATATATAGCATCTTTATATGTAAAGTTATTAATTCCCCCTGTATGATGTCAATAACATCTATTCAAACTCATGTAGTCAAAGCTGGTTAAGAAGATCTATCAAACAAAAGACTGGGTGTTTGCCTCAATTTACATATAAGTACAAAAGAAGATCCTTGCGAGGGCAAGAGGGAGATAAGGTAAATCTTAATTTCAGAATACACAAGATAGAAGGAAGAGCATGGAGGTATCTTAACCCCCAGGACCTACTGCCTTTATTATTTGAATGAGCTCTGCTGCAAGGAGTAATACTCAGAAGAATCCACTTTGAAGGTGGACTGGACCATAAAGTAAAGGACACAAATACCTCAATAGAGATCTCTCTCTCTCTCACCTAAGAACACAATACCAACCTTTTGGACTTTGGGAGAAGATCCTGACTTGAGAATTTGGTCAGCTATGTTGCTAGGGTCATGTGGCAAGGATTTCCCCTTGAATAACATCAAGTTTGTTAAGACCTTGTTACTAGAAAACATTGGATACATCTATATAGCAGTGTTATTTTGGAATAACTGACGTTATTTCGAAATAAAGTGCGCATCTACACAGCAAGCCATCATTTCAAAATAATGTCGAGATGGAGGACTTCTTATTCCAACTTCTGTAACACTCATTTCACAAGCAGTAAGGTAAGTCAAAGGAAGAGTGTTCTTCCTTTGACTTCCTGCTGTGTAGACAGCGCCAAAAGCTGAATTAAGCTATTTTGACTTCAGCTACACAATTGACATAGCAGAAGTTGTGTATCTTAATTTGACTTTTGCCCTGCAGTGTAGATGTGCCCATTGTGTCTTTATTTGTTGTAGCATTTCTAATTTTAATGGCTTAGACTTGTACTCCCTTAAAGTTTTCCTCTTTGTTATTAAATACTCTTTAATCAAAACTAATTAAGTATTGAGCTTAAAGTGAATTTTGGTAACTCCAATTAAAGTTGCAAACTGTTGCATGTTGACAACTCATAGGGGCAACAGGCCTATAATATCTAACCTGTCCAGGTGAGGGCTGGACAATGCAGAAACTACATTTTGAGGGAAAATCCAGGATTGGTGTGTTGGGGGTCACTCTACAAAGGGTAAGTCAGGATGTTGTTTGAAATGTTGCTAGCAAGTGGAAGCTACATAGACACTCGGTGTGTCCTGCGTGCTGTTTGTGAGGACCCAAGTTGGGAATTACATTAGCAAAGCATTGCGATACAATCAAGGTTCCAGGGCAGGTAGTGACAACCTCTCACCAGTTTGGACTGTTTCCAAAGGAGGCATTGGAGGCTTTTTAAGAACAGGTTGGACAAAACATCCCTGAGGGGTGGTCTACATTTACTTGGCCCTGCCTCAGAACTGGGTCTTGGAGTTTATGATTCTAGAGGTTCACCCTAGTCCTGTGTTTCTATAACTTCAAAGTAGAAAGAAGAGAACCAGGTCACAGATTTAACTTTCTCGTTTTCATTGATAAGACTCAATATGACAGTGAAGTAAATAAAAAATAAAAAGTATATGAAAAATAAAGCATATCAGATGTCTTAAGACCCCTTCCAGGCCTCCTACTCTAGGAAAAGCTGGTTTATTTCTGCAAGGTATTTAGTCATTGTTATACATTCCTTTGAGCTTTGATAATTCAACTGTGTAGTTTGTTTGCAGGTACTTCTGATGTAGGTTGACACCTATATTTGCCCTCTTTATTTTCTCATCAATAAACAATTTTGGCTAGACAAACTGATAATCATTTAATGTAGTATTTCACTTTTCCTGCTACAACAAACTCAATATGCAAAAGTAGTAAATGAGGTCAATGTAACACTACAATCACCATCCTATCATAGGAATAATCTTTATTCTCTTGTAGTACTACCAAATGAGAGGGAGAGTTCAAAAAAGTGTTTCTATCTTTGTCCTCTCGTTTGTTCCTATTTCAAGCAGGTATAATAATCATTCGGTACACATCTTTTAATATTTGCCAGTGTTCATTTTTAAAAATCTTTTTACTGAGCTTTTCCAAAATATGTTTGAACCATGGTTTATCTATGTAATCATAGCATTATGTTTTACACATGTTGTTTAGTTAATTTTGAACCAAAGTTCCTAAGTAAAGAATAGTAATAAGGAACATAATAAAAACAGAAAAGCCTTTAGTAAAAAGGGAAAAACTGGGAACTTAAAAGGCCTTTCAGTTGGAGCCAGGTATAGCAAATGGTTGACAACACATGGATGTCTACATATTGGGGGAGGGGATGACATCAGTCTCTTACAAACATAATTTATTTTAATAAATTTTCTTTATTTTTAGGAAATAAAACTTAGAATTATAAACCTTGTCAGGCATTTTACACAATAGATGGCTAGTACAGCAAAATTATAGCTTTCTTTGTAGATACTGTAATCCAGAAAGATTCTTAATGTAACATTCTGCTGTAATTAAGTGAAGACGAAAAAACCCTACATGCTGGAGTTGAAATTCTTGTGGAATTTATTAACTTCAATGCAAATGCTCAGACCAAATGAGCTTCTTTAATTTCCATAATGAAATTGTTTTTGTAAAGTTAAAAATACTGTAATGAGGCCAAAACGGTGTGCTTTCAGCGGCTCCCATGGTGAAACAAATGAGATTTTAGCTTCTCTAATTGGGCTTACTGCAAGCTGGGCTTGATGCTGTCTTCAGCACAGGATGTTTGTTATCCCTAACAAAAAAAGGTCTACAGCTGTCAGCATAATACTATATAGCTTTTCAGAAGCCAAATCATCAGGAGGAAGACTGCTGCTCTCTGACTGGGACCACCCAAAGGGAGAGATCAAGTAGAGAACAGCTCTACTTTCCCCTGATTAAGAAGTTATTCGTAAGGTAATTTGTTTACCGCTATCAAACTGAAGCTTTTGAAGGAACTGTCGAGAATTCCCAGAATCCTCTAGAAGAATTTTATTTGATTAAGCAATGAATATGGATATTCTCTTTATTCCCCCTGCTGAATTAAATTGTATTACCTGTCAACACAAGCCATTGGGGTCTTACTGGTCCTGCAAGAAAAAGAAAAAAAAACTTAGAGGGATTGTTTTGTCTGCATTGCCAAACTCTGCTCATTTGCTGTCATGTACAACACCATGGTAACAGCCTGCAAGAGCTATAGAATTGTTTGGATTATTTTCCTTCGCCCTCTTCCCCCTGCAAACACTGTTTTCATGTTTAAGATATGGGAAAAGAGTCAATTCTAAAATAATTTTCAGCACCTGAAAATTTACTAAATTTAAGTAATGTATTCTTTTAGCATTTGATGCAAGTGCAGCATTTGTACACAGGAAGTAAAGTACTACTAGTACTGTATCGGAGGAATATGACCAAACCCATCTTCTGAAGTTAAACATTTACCACGACATTTAATTCTGATGTAAAATTAGGAACAGAAGGTATCTTGTAAAAAAGGCAGAACAATTAACAATAATGATTCTATGCTCACAGCCTAAATCACCACTAAAAGGCTAACTGATTTAACACTTGCAACACACAATATGAACTATTAGTTTATAATTACCTAATCAATAGAAAACTGTTTTCAATAGTAAAATTGTCAAGTTATGATTTCTTTGTTAATAGTTGAAGGAACTTATCTGTGAACTTGTAAAACTCTATTCATTGTTTCAGTGTCACATACAGAACTTTCAGGGTTGCTAATTTTCTCTATAGGTTACTATCCCTTCCCTGTGTTTCTGTTTTATTTTTACTCCCTGTGATGGGGTGTACCAACCTCACACTGGGGCTGCAAGGGCTAACCCTACTTACTTGGCTGAGAAGGCCCCACCCTGCTAGCCCTGCTGGGAATGTGCCAGCTGGAGGCCAGCTATAAAAGCCCATGGAGCAGCTCAGTCTGGGCTGACTGCTGCCAGGGAAGGATGTGCTGTGTAACACCTGAGGAAGAGCAGCAGATGGACCAGAGGAGGGGGCCAGGGAACATCTGGAGAAGCCCCTAGTCTGGAGGGAAGTGAAGAGGAAGTCTGGAACAGCAAGCCTCTTAGGGAGTAGCCCACGGTGGGGGGAGCTGCCTGAGAATTCTGTGTGTTTCAGTGCAATTCCCCGCCAAGCTAGTGGTGGACCACGCCATGGCCAGGACCCTGGATTGGGATTGGGTGAAGAGGGTGGGCACAGGTCCTCTTACTCCCTCCCTCCCTCCCTCCCTCTTACTCAAGGCAATGCAGAGAGCTACAACTGTTGCCACTGAATCTGCTTGTTAGGCCTCCCTGACCAGTGCAGAGGAACATTGTTATTGACTCTGTGCCTGTGGCTCCTAGGCACTGCTTCCCTGAGCGGAGTGTTGTCACTGACTCTGGCAGTTGGGTCTGACTGCCCTGTGAAGGAGGGATTGTTATTGACTGTAGCTGATAGGCCATACTACCATGAGAGGAGGGAGTGTTGATATTGACTCTGTTCCCGAGGCCTGATTACCCTGCAGAGAAGGTGTTTAGTTATTATCACTGAGTCATTGAAACTGGTATGCCTGCGGGATTGAGCACCCTTCAAGGGGCCTCTGAGGCCTGGCACTCTACACCTAAGAGGAGGGTGGGGTGCTTGCCCCATGACACTCAAATTACTCAGTTGTCAGTGTGGGGGATGAGTGAAGTACAGTAAAACTCCAATTGTCCGGCATCCAGTGGTCTGGCACCTCTGATAGACCGGCACCAACTGGAACCCAGAAGTGCTCCGGCCAGCCAGACAATTGGAGCTGCTCTGCCCCCGGCTTCCACAAGTCCGTCGCTGGTCAGTTTCAGCAGCAGTGGACTTGGGGAAGCCAGGGGCAGAGCAGCTGGGGTTCTTCTGGGTTGGTCTCGCAGCGCTGCCTTCTCCCACACTGCGCAGTTCCCCGCCAACCCCCCACCCCATACCCTTCATAGCCCCCCTTCCGGTACTCCGGCATATCTAATAATACGGCACCCCCTGGGTCCTAAAGGTGCCGTATTATCGGAAGTTTACTGTAATATTGCTCTGGGAGATAAAAATCTATGACTTAACAAAATAACAATTGGATTTTTATTTAAATTAAATTTTTAAAATTTAAATTAAATATAGGTTTAACAATAAACATTTACATTAATTTAAAATTGACAACCTATGTTAACACCCAAATTTATAATCTAGTAAAAATCATTTGTATTGTATTAAAAAAAAATGTTAGAACTTGACAGCAAACATGTACTTAAAAAAAAAATCACATCACTGAACTGGGTAGAAGTAACTGGCTAAGCAAATAGAACCTAGGGTTGTAGACATGTTAAACCAGTTTGTGATAGCAGTAGCCTCTTCTGCAGATGCAGGAAGAATATTTTTTCTCATTTCACTTTATTCAACAAGTCCAGATCAATGACTAGTTGGTCCTGCCATGGGGGCAGGGGACTGGACTTGATGACCTCTTGAGGTCCCTTCCAGTTCTAGTGTTCTATGATTCTAGTTCATTTAAAATTAAGAAATCATCTGGGAATTCAAAAAGCAGGACAGTAGACTATACTCTACTGGTTCTAAATTTTAAAGAAATTGGTGAACAGAAATGATTACATCAGTATGCTGACTTCAGAAAATATTTCCTGATGTAAAAAAAAAAACCATGATTTAGTTTAAAATACAAAACTTGTTTTTCTACTATGCCCGGCACATTTAAAGTAGTTGTATTTAATTAAATTAAAATGCTGATTTTGTATATATTAATTAAATTTAGCTTGGCACAAATATCAAGCAAAATATTAATAATCTAAAAGTTAGAAATGCATCATTAATCAGTTTCTACCATAATCAAAATGTAAAAATTAAACATCTGAAATTAAGCTATATCTTTACCACATTTAAGCAATTATATAGTATATCCTCTTGGTCAGCAAAAAGAAGCACCAAATGCAAAGGATCTGTTTATTTGCAAAACAAAAATTTGGAATGGTTACAAACTCAACCTTACTTTAGGAGAGGGGGAAGTAAAGACAACATATTGTAGTAATTAAAAAACATTAAATCAAAGTTTGCTTGCTATTAAAAATCAGTACTTTAAATCTCTGAACACTATATATTCTATACCCTCTTCCTCCTAACTGATTTAAAAAAAGCATAAAAATCAAGTAGAGCGATACTACACTCATGGATTATACCAGAAAGAATTATAATGAAGGGAATTGGAAGAGAAGTGGTAATACAAGAATAAAGGGGTGGAAACAAAATGGAGGATATAGTTGAAAACCTGGGCTACTAAAGTCAATGAGCATTTTGCCACTGACTGCAGTGAAATCCCGGTTCCACCCTTTGTTTAGATTAGTACCTATGAAAAAGCAAACATACAAAGAATGAATGAGGCATACATGGGACTGCATATGTTCTAAATATTGGTAATTTTATGGGCTTAGTTTAGAAGGATGATGACGGATAAGAATCTGAAGATAACTGAAGAGTTTCCAAAAATGTAGGGTTTAAGTTTCTCGTTGGCTGGTTTCCAATACCATTATGTGCTGAATTTATATTTTTCAAAATGTGGGGGAGAGGGAGTTACCTAAATGGATACAATAGAATAATTAAATATTTCTATAGAATTCCAACAATCCATTAGGTTAACTAAAATATCTAATCGCCTAAGTCAAACTTAGCTTCAGACTATAGAATGTTTCTTAAAGGCTAGCAAGTTAATCAAAACATTTTCAGCAGTGCATACAAGCAAAACTGCCTCATACTGCTAGAAAATTCAAAGGAAGCAGAGCTCGCGAGTTTCCTGTGTACACAGGGATGATTTCAAGGGTACCTATGCTACAGTTTTGAGTTGCTGATAGAATATCAAAGAAATAATAAGCCGTGACACAGTGTCCGCCAATAGTAATTACATAATGGGCTCTTTTGTGCTACTAGACTCTAAACAATGATTCATAGCAGTAATTTCATAATTTATATTTTGTATTAAGAATTGTTCATAATATAGCCAATGAATGGTTCTAGGTTATGAAATAACATAAGCATTAGGAATTCATGGGCATGTACTTATTTAACATTATAGGAAATGCCACTAAGCTATATATTCACATTACAGCTATAAATATAACCTGTCAAAATATTGACAGAATTTTGATCTTTAGAGGACAAATGTAAACACACACATTTAATTTGCTGCCAAATCTAGTCACAGAACAGACTCTATAACTGGCATCCCATTACTGGTTTTCAGAAGTAATTATACTGTATTTACTTATCAAAACCATACTTTAAGTGTAGGATTCAAAAATACCTGCTCAAGTCTTTACATCAAATTTAATCATTTAAGATGATGTACCAGTTTTACTTTAATTCATTTATTACATTGGTTTTCTAAAAAATCTTAATGATTGAAACAATGAACTAATCAACCATTAATTTGGTCTTTCAAACAGTACATTTTCACTATCTTTGGATTAATTTTTTAAAAAAAAGTAAGATGTCTTATGTAACACCGTTCTCTGCAGATTACTCCTGTGAGAGGTACATATATTGTCACACTGATGGCATATTGAGTAACACCATGACAAGAAGCAAACCAATGGATCTCCATTGCCAGTTCCATTTCTTAACAATTTCATTCTTGTTATTTTAGTCTGTAGATTGTTTCACACACACACACTTTGGAATTCACATCGTTTTGTAGATGTCACTGTTCATTTTAAGTTGCTAGGGTTAGCACTTCTTTTCTATCAGCTGAAGCAGTTAAATTACTTTCATTGACCATCCAGGAGTGTAATCTACCACATGCTTATTTTGGTTCTCTCAGGCTACACATAAATCCAAAAAAACCCTCCCTTTTTATTCTGTACTTTAAATTTGTATGAATGTAAGCTTGAATTTTTACATTCTCTGAGGCAATGAATGTGTGAGTAGAAATGTTGGGATTTTTACAGCACATCTGTGCATACATATTGTGCTTAATATAAGACAAATCCTTCAGGCCATATTGCAATTGATGCAGCAATGCTGAAATTATTTGAAACAGTGAAATGTTAAGTGTATTACATATTTTTCAACTGCTGGCTAA